GCTAACCATTATTAGCAACAGTTGGCTGATGCTAACAGCTATTAGTATTAGCTAGCTGATGCTAACCATTATTAGCAACAACATGCTTACAGCTATTAGTATTAGCTAGCTGATACTAACCATTATTAGCAACAGCTAGCTGATGCTAATGGCTATTAGTATTGGCTAGCTGATGCTAATAGCTAATTGATGATATTTTAGTTTGTTTAGTTCAAACTCTAAATAGGAACAAAACCAACCAGGTTAAACATCTTTTTACGAGTTGTTTTAATGGTCTTACCTTTACTCACATCCTGAAGCAGAGGTCCAGCCGGGTCAGATTCTGGCTCGGGACATGGCTCATCTCAAAAAACAAAACAAAACCAAAAACAAAGAGAGTCTTGTTTCCTGTTTCTGGCGTGTATTTGTCACGGTGCCACCTGCAGGCCCGGTATAGTTACTGCAGCACCGAGTGGTGTTTTCAGTGTTTCCTTGTGGACAGAGACATTTTCAGAAACGGTGCTGTGTTTTTGAGGAGTTTCAGAATAAAATGCAAACTTTTTTTTTTTTTTTTGCCTTTACAGATGTTGAGCTAAACTTTGCTGTGGTAGTATCTTAGAGTCCTCCTGACTCTGATCATGTGACATCTTACTTTGTTTGTAACCGTTTTTTAATTTAAACTAACTCTATGAGTTGAAATGTTCTTTTTCCTCTCGGCCTGGATTCGCCTGAAACTTCTCTGAAGTCGACTGAAACTTTGGGTTTGTTTATCGAGGCGGCGCGTTGAGGTGCAGGTGCAGAAACAGGAAGCCACACATCTGGTGCAACATCAGGCGGCTTCCTCCAAAATCCACTGACTCATTTAAAGCCTCCGACTCGACCCGGTTCCGGTCCGATTCTTAAAGAGATCCGTGCAGAGAACTCCCATGATCCCCGTCACCTCCGGTCACACAAAAAACACGAGTTGACGCTGGAGTTCATCAACCCTCCTGCTGCCCTGACACTTCAGTTTGAGTTATTTTGACCCAATGGCAGCAGGAGGGTCGGAAAACTTCCCAAATTCAATCAGAAATTGACACAAAGCCAAATAATAATAATAATAATAATAATAAATAAAAACTGACTGTGGGCTAAAAGGAACATCTAACAACTAAAACATAAACCAGAGAACTGATCACGAGGAGAAATATTTTCATGATTTTATTACAAAAATCATCTAAAACCTGATTTTAAACAACTTTAAACTAATCATGCTTTATTAGCTCACGAGCAGAAAAGTTTATAAAATGCTCAGAAACAGCAAAAAGTTTAAAGCCCAAATTGTTTTATTTATTTCAAAGGGGAAAAGTATCTAACGCATTTTAAAATTTGAAAGTTATGCTGAAAAAATAGAATTTGATTTTTTTTTTCTTTCAAAATAAATCAGCATTTATTGGTTTTCCTCGGAGGAATAAAAGTTCCTCACAACTCAAAGAACGCATCTTGCTGCTGTGTTAAAGGGATATTACGGCCATTTTGAAGTGATGTTCTGTGGAAAAGTTATAAACAATTAACATCTTACCTGTTGTAGATAAAATGCTGCCATCTTGGAATTTCTCCGACCTCTAAAGTTTCGCAGCAGTTTGTGAAAACTTTTTCTTTTGAAACGTTTACGCCTCCACCACCTTCACACGACGTCAGCATTTACGAGCACAAGCATCGGCTGCAGCAGCTAGCTGTAGCACTTCCTGCAGAAGTAACGGCAGAGTGGTGACAGATGTGTGGACCAGATTCTGCAGGAACTACTTGAAATCCTTAAGACTGGGGTTGTTTTGGATGACAGTGGTCCGTTTCAGAGCTGGGTCCATATGGCCCCAGAGTCCTGCTGGTCTTCATATGGCCCCAGAGTCCTGCTGGTCTTCATATGACCACAAAGTC